CAGCCTGTCCCCATAGCAGAGGTGCTCCAGCCCTCTGATCATCCTCGTGGCCTCCTCTGGACTCGCTCCAACCAGTCGGTACCCTTCTTATGTTGGGGGCCCCAGAGCTGGATGCAGAACTCCAGGTGGGGTCTCACAAGAACAGAGTAGAGGGGGAGAATCCTCTCCCTCCACCTGCTGACTACACTTCTCTGGATACAGCCCAGGATACGGTTGGCTTTCTGGGCTGCCAGCGCGCACTGCTGGCTCATGTTCAACTTTTCATTCACCAGTACCCCCAAGTCCTTCTCCTCAGGCCTGCTTTCTATCAATTCTCCACCCAGCCTGTACTTGTATTTGGGATTGCCCCAACCCAGGTGCAGGACCTTGCACTTGGCCTTGTTGAACTCCATGAGGTTGGCACAGGCTCTCCTCTCCAGCTTGTCCAGGTCCCTCTGGATGGCATCCCTTCCCTCCAGAGATGGGCCCTTACAAGGGACAGAATACCTTAAAGCTCCTTGGCATTTATGACAAAGGAGTAAGGGAAAAACATTAAGTGATGGTGTGGAGTCATCCCTTATGGGCTCACACAAAGGCTTTGCAAATGGTGATGTTCTTGCCTCTGTGCCAGTTCAAAGACTGAGGAAGAGACATTGCAGCTGTAGTTTTCTGGTCCATTTCTGGTAATGGAGATTATCTTTATTAGCACCATTAGCCACGTCTCAGATGTTGTTCCAGATACGGCACAGTGGGTGCAGTAATAACAAAAATGCTACTCAGCCTAGCTCATGCCCTTTTCTGAGTATCTGTGCATTCTGCACATCACTGACATTGTGGGGTAAGGTGTGCTTTGCACTTTGTAGTCCAACTCTGACTTTAGCTGGTAATCATTGCTGTGGCTTTTGAGTTGGCAGCAGGTTTTCACAGTGTATCTTCTGCTTAAGACAGATTGATTTGGAAAACTTGGGTAAGACAATGTTTGAGTTTTGGCAAGCCTGTTAATGTGGCAGTATGGTATTTTAGTTCTAGTCCACATGTGTCAAATATCTTTCAATATTTAGTTTTTCTTATAAATAGCCACCTTATCTCAGTTTCAAAACATTTTCTTTCCCTTCAAGGCTGTACTGTCAGGCTTTTGCTGCAACATATCCTAACAACAAAGGGTAAAAAAACCCTGCATTTGAATGTAAAGCTGCATTATTTTTGTACTATAAATGGTTCTCTCCAGAATCTCTGGCAGTCTGGAGTGGTCTATATAACTCTGGTTGTGAACAACATTGCCTTTTTAAAGTACTCTGTGTACATTTACATGAGTACGCTCTGTATAGTTGCCTACTCATGACAGGCGAGCAGTGGATGAAGTATGAAGCAGAAAACAGAAGTCTCTGAAGTTGGCAATCGTTTATTTTTCTCCACAAGATGTTACCTAATGCTTCGGTGTTCAAACAGGGATGATCTGTACCTAGCAGAAGTCACAGTGTGACAGTGACAAGGTCATTTTCTCTGTTCATCCCCTCTCTCCTCTTAGTATCCTTTTATCTTAATGCATCACTTGGCTTAAGGACATACACTCTTTGGGCACAGAGCTTTTGAAAATGAGTAGCCTATTCCTGGACCAGAAGTGATGCTGTTGACACTATTGAAAGAAGAGTATGTTTACAGCTTCTGGGCCTCCCTGTGCCTGCGCTGAAAAGGTGCTAGGGTGGGCCCTGAATTTGCAGAAAAAGGAAAAGAAAGAGAAGCAAAGCATTGCAGTATGTAAAGAGGCACACAGCTGTCCACAAGTGAACAGTCAGGGCAAGACTGCCAAAACTGAGGGTGCACACACTTACTTAGATTTCTGTGAGTACCTGCTGTGAGGAGCTAATAGAAGCGTCACCAAATTTAGCAAGTAACCCCACTGCAGGATGTCTGGATGACTACATCAGTTGTCCTATGTAAGCTCCTTAGGGCTAGGACTCTGTGCTCCATCATGTGTGTCACCCATCACTGTTCCGCAAGAACCTGTGGATATAAGCCTACTTAAGATTTCAGCCTTGGGGAATTAAAATGTTTGCTGTACCATTTCTCTGCAATGTTAATCGCTAGATGGCAGTCTGAAATTCACCCCAAGTTCACAGATGCCAGCTCTGCGCAGGCAGGCAGAGTTGTAACTAGGACAACTCTTTCTACATGCAACACCACCAATTTCACACCTGCTAATAAAACACAGAAGAACAGCTGCTTGGTAAGTCAATACATAGCACCACAGAGGGTCAAGCACAAGTATTCTGGGAGGGGCTAAATGGTCATCTTCACTAAAAATTGTTAGTGCTAATTGGAGAGCAATTTTTCATTACCTGAAATGATGTCTCCTTTGACACGGGACATCTTGTACCACATCTAGACTCGGTTGAGTCCTGGTGTTCTAAAATAACTGTGTGAATAAATCCCTCTGCTCAGAGAATGGGTTTCATGGGCAGTTTACACTTACTGGAGCTGTGTCTCAAGTCAGAGTGCTGTACTCTCCACCTTCACAAGCTGGGAAGTTTTGGTCCCCTAAAACCAGCCTTGTCATGGTAAGTTTCTCTGACCTGTCTGTAATGAAGTGCTGGCCATGCCTGTCAGCTTCTGTGAATAGGGGTTAGAACTCCTGTTTCTTGGAAGTCAGAGGAGGTCTTGGGCCTAATTGAGGAAATCAAGCATGCTGTTGCAGGTCCAGAATGGTCGTATCACTCCTGAGGAAGCAGGGCCAAGGACTTTAGCCACGCCGGCCTGAGCACCCGAGGCTACACAGGTGCAGCTGCTTCCTATGTGTGTATGCGCTGACCAGCCAGGACATGCTACCATTACCCCCTTCTGCAGGTATAACGCTGGCCCTGGTACCGCTGCCCTTACCCAAAAGGGTTGGGTGACAAGTGTAATGCTCCTGTGTCAGTACTGCTTATGAACAGCAATCTTGCCACTGCAAAAGAGGTCTTGCTGTGTTTGGGCTTCTCATTC